CTTAAGGGTTCTGTACGAAACCCTTAGGGTTTCATACCAACGGTTGTTGGTTTTGTACAGAACCCTCAAGGTGCTCTACAGAACCCTTAAGGTTTCGTATTTTCTCACAGAACCTTTTTTTGCTGTACAGAACCTAAAAAAGGGTTCTGTAAGAGATGGTTCTGCGATTGGGTAAAACGCAGAACCTTCAAAAGGTTCTGTAGAAATTTTTATCTTTTTTTTGAGACTTTGGACACATTTGGAGCATTTTTGAAATCTACAGAACCTTTTCGAAGGGTTCTGCAAAACTCCTCTTTTTTTTCTGAGTAACATTTTATTTTGAATATCCATGTCTTTGAAATCTAAGTAATTTAGAATTACTACCCGATTATTAGGCGTATCTAAAGCTGAGATGTGGGTGTGATATGAGCGTATGGAGTGGATGTGAACCCGGATACATTTTCTCTCTTCATCCTGTTCCAGGGAGAGTGCATCCTACTCACAAATGTTGAACATTGCGGTAACAGTTCCGCCCGATTCAGGGACCTGGATTATGAGTCTACAGAACAGACCTAATCCATATAGATCGAATTCCGTCAATTTTTGAAATTCCTCCTTATTCCAGGAATTGTGTTGAAACGGAACTCCTTCCAATTCCGGAATTACTCAGAATCTTCTCTTCTCAGGGAATTCCTTTCAGTTCCTGGGATTAATCGGAATTTCTAGAAATTCTTTCTGATTCCGGAATTCCGAGTATTATTTCAATTCCTTAATTGGAAGGAATTTCGGGGCACTGCAAATAATTCCGTCTGCAACCAGTTCCAGGTATTCCGGGAATTGGCAGAACTCCATCGATGTCGAGTTGGTCTCTTTTACGGAATGATAATCGAATTCCTCGAATTGGATGGAACTGATTCCGCCATGTCCAATATGGCAGAAAAGGACGACTGCTCCTTTAGATGTAAATTTTATCTGAACAAATTTTTGTAATGTATTCTTGTGGTAAGAAAATAAAATGAAGGCTGTTGTTAACAGATAGACAATTTTCGAAACGTGAAATCTCATGTTTTGAATAAAAAAGGATGAATATTCAATCATTCAGAAGTCTATATCTTCGCAAATAAAACGTTCTCATAACGTTTTTAATGCTCCCTACAATAATAACATCAATAATTTGGAAGAATTCGAACATTTTCGTTTTAAACCTATGCATTATTTGTTATTATAGATTCTTATGAAGCTTCATATTACAACAAAGTGAAAGTGAAAACTAGAACCCTTTAATATCCGATAACTTCGGTAGCTGGTCATCCTAAAAGTAAAGTTTGAGTTATATTTTGAGAAATCCACCCTTACTATAGATACTACACTATGGGACGGGAATAACTGTAAATTTTATGCTGCATAAAGGCGAATTTTGAGCAAAATGCTCAACCTTTCGGGGCAGTTTCAATCAAAGTAAAGCCTGTCAGTTGCCGCCTTAATTTGTATATCCCAAAAGAAGTCTACATTTTGACGGTGTTTGAACGGGTACGGACGTGGGAGAGCATTCCATGCCTCCGCCTACCTCACATCGACATTTCACTAACATCCTCATCCACATCTGCAATCTTTTTTAGAAAAACAGAAAAATACTGATATCCTAGTTTTTTGGGTTTTGCATTGATTTTCATTCAATTCGATTCATAATGTAGAGCCAGATGTCCTACACTGTAAAAAAAGGGTTTTTTACCGAACCGTCGAAAAAGGTTCAGTAAATTTGAAAAAGCTTGCAACTGCATTCAAATGCTCAAGAAACGCTTTTTCAGTTCTATGAAACTTTCAAAGGTTCTTCCCAGGGACACACGGGAAGAACCTTTTTCAAGTTGTGTATAGCAAAAAAGTTTTGTAAAAAAATACGAAACCTTTAAGGTTTTGTATTAAATTATAATGGCTTTTTACTAAACACTAATGGTTTCGCACTAAACCAATATAATTTAATACGAAACTTTAGAGGTTTCGGAGAACTGAAAAGTCGTTTTTTTGAGAATTTGAATGGATTTGCAATCTTTTTCAAACCTACAGCACCTTTTTCGAGAGTTCAGTAAAAAAACCTTTTTTTTTACAGTGTAATTCTGACCGAAAAAACACATATTGTGTATTTGTTCTATAACTCGAGTTATATGCATCGTACGCCAGTAATTTTTTCTTTCCAGGGTAGAGCAAACATTTCTCTATCGAATGATATAAGATTGAATGGCAAATAACTAATGAACCACTTAGGAGAAGCGGAGCAATACGAAGGAGATCAAATATGATTTGATTTTCATGCATTTCTATTTCAGTCGGTTACATAGAAAATTGCCATAAATTTCAGAAAAAGCTTATTTTTTTATGAGCCTGATCGAATATAAAAATAAAAATAAACATCATTCGATGCATATTGGCATGGGCTATCAATTGATATGTTTTTCAAAAGAATTCAGATCATTTGATATATTCTTTTCTTTCCACAAGGTAAAATGAGTTGTCGGTAGAATTTTTTTCCTGTTCTTACTTCTGCTTCCTCATAAAGCTTGTGTTCCTAATTCTACCGATTACATACCAAATACGTAGAGGTATCGAAAATAAACTTGGGGGCGCTACCTCGACTAAAACAAAACACGAACAACTTTATATCATTTGAAAGCTTTGTTAAATCGCGTCGTGCACGTATGAAGTGAGGGTTGACCGTAAATATGTCGAAAGGAAAAATATCGAAAGGAAAAACGTCGAAAAAATAATATTGACATGAAAAATAGTCGGGAAATGTTAAAGAAAGTTGTGAGAAGTAAAGAACATGTCTTAATATATATGTTAGTGTTAGCTTTCTAACAGTGGTCAAATCCAGCTAATAAAGAAAAAAAATCGATCATGCATCATATTTTTCTCTTAACAACTGTAGATAATAAACCATGTAAATATTCCATAGCATTTACAACACGGTCATTATATCGTTCAGCAAGATTATTTATATGGTGTTGAATAGAAATTGTTTTAGCTTGTTTTGGTCTAGCCGCTAAACCTGCAGTAGACTGAAGATAGACATCCCCTCACACAACCTACATCCTCGAGATAGTTGTTGTTGATGTTTTATTCAATTAGACAACATATTTATCTGTGATAGGTAGAGGTTTTCCTTTATTTGAAATTATAAATGAAATAGCTGGAAAATGTGCTTGATTGACAATAGTTAAATGATGTAGTAGCTTCCGGTACTACAATAGAATTTTAGCTATATAATAGTTCTTCGCTCAACCCTTTTATTTAATTTTTATCATAAATAAGTTATCACGTTTATCACCGATTAAAATTCTACACTAGTCGAATTATAAGAAAAGTAACAATAGACTAATACACGAATAGTTACTATTTAGTGAACGCATAATTTTTTCCATGTTTTCCTGTTTCGATATTCTTCCATTTCAATATTTACTTTTCGACATTTTTTCTTTTGATATTTTTCCAAATTTTTATTCAGCATTTTTCCCTTTCGACATTTTCCCAGCATACCGAAGTGAGCACAAACAAACCTAGTTACATCTGGTTTTTGTTCAAAAAACTTTCAAGAGGTAGGCTGCCAAGCCATTATTTCTCATCCTTTAAGATAAGCCAATTTGAGAACAAAATAAATAACATATTCAAAAATCAACACCAAAAATTACGCTGGTTCATGATTTTTTTCGAAACAAGTGTTTTCTCGACAAAAAATCGACCTGTGGTCTCTCTAAGTATTTTTTCCGGGTAGAGCTATGATCTTGCTCAGGTCGATTTGGGTGTGGGTGTGAGCGTGTGCATGACTGTGGATGTGGGTGTGAGATGGACGGGGTATAGACTTGGATGTGGATACATAGGCTCACAAAATCAGCACCCAACAACACCTGCATCCACACTCACACCCACATCCACACTCCACGCCCACTCCCACATCCACACTCCACGCCCACTCCCACATCCCACGCTCACGTCTACACATAGCTACACCCCATATATTTTCATACGTAGTGGTAAACAGTGTCAAAACACTTGATTGGGATCAGTACCTTTCATTTGTTGCACGATATCTAACCTTCAACAATTTCATACAGAATATTTTTCCATTCCAATATGAAGGGTGTATCGTGTATCGTTGATTATATCTTCTGGAATGTTAGTAAGGTTGAACTTTGAAATTGATGGTGAGATAATAGTAAAATAATGAGCGCACTAATCTTTCGAGCGTAACGATGAATTTGAATTTACCATTTTATATACGCATAATGCAAATGATCGAATTATTTCGTTAGATTAGTACCTAAATCGAGTACACCTTTCATTTGAGGCGAACGTAAGTTCAGAATAAAATGTTTTCCTGCACGATTAAGCATTATGCTCTAGTGGATATTTCTTGAAGTTCAAATGATATATGGAAAAAAATTTAGTGAATAGTAATTGGTATAGAAAATAATTGCAAGGGCAATTCCTTTTATCAAACAAAGTGTAACGAAATTCATCACTTGCGAGATGCCAGATATGCACTACAATGAGGATAATACAGTAGAAATATAATAGTTAAATATCGTCAACGACTAACTCTGCTTTTAATAGGGATTCGACAACTTAATGATACAAAAGATTACTTCGATCAACATCAATCGTTTTGTGAATAATGATGTTTCCGAACTCCAACAATCCAACCGTAGTCCAATATACGGTTACCAGCATTTATCCGCTATGACTTTAGAACAAGCTGTAAAAGAAATCATTCCATTAGTTTCTGGTCTTGCAGATTATGTTGCTCAAGCTAAACAAAATTGTAATCGAAAGTCGCATCTGATAACATGGGATGAATCAGCAGCAATTTATCTTTACTCAATGCAAACAGATCTCTTTACCATGCTCAACAAAGCACTTCGGAATGAAAATCGACATGTACTGAAACCATGGTTTGCCTTCTTAAAACTATTCCTTACTGCACTAGAAAAATTACCATCGTTTAACGATACTGTTTGGCGGGGAGTTTCAGGTGATGTCGATTCCAATTTTGTGAAAAATACTGTGCAAACTTGGTGGAGCGTGAATTCATGTTCGAAAGCTCTCAATGTCGTTGAAGCATTTGTTGGCGGAAAGGGAGTCGTGTTTGCCATAAATGTGATACACGGTAAAGATATTTCTGCTTACTCGGCGATTCAAGACGAGCAAGAAGTCATCATTATTCCTGGAACTCGTGTATGTGTGAAGAGCGACCCTCTCAACTTTAACAACTGTCTTTTAATTGTTCATTTGGAAGAAGAGCCTACATCGGATCGAACCATAGAAAGGTTGGTTCATTCATAAGATTCTGTCAAACCTAACATATTGGTCTACGACTTACACAGAATATATTTACCATGTCGGCGGAGCTTCTGACTAGATCTTGAAATGCAGTAAATCCCATTAATTGAGAGGAAAAATGTCAAATAGCATGCATTTTTGGCTTAAGATTTTTACGATCGATACAATCTTCAGTATCGAAATCACTGGAAGATATTGTATGATATTTTTTTACATCTGAGTATAGAGAAATCACAAATTGTAGTTGTAGTCTATTGAACACTCAGGTTTAATTGCACGATCTTATATAATTCATGCTGCTTTTGAAATATTTCTTGGTACATAGATAAATTGAGAAATCTTTCAGCAATGACAACATTTTAAAAATTTTTATTAGTGCCGAATCAGTCATCGGGAAGAGAGATGCCAAGTGGCTATAATAGACTTATTTTTGTTTCAACATTCTTCAACATTCATAGTAATGAAAGCAAACGTTTGACTTGGATGTTTTCCCACAATGCATTGCTCACAAACATTTTGCAGTAGCGACCAGAGGTCTGCCAAATGATTCCGGGACTGTTACTAAAATTTTGAGTATGGTTCTAGTCTTTTTTACTTCGAAATAAGCTACATTTTTGTACTTATTTCCATTTTGTGACTAACCGAATCCAGAAATCGTATATTTTTATTTACGATTTCGAAAATTCAAAATATCTAAGTTCTTATTTCAGCCATCGAGACTTTTTTGAAGCTTTGTTCAAGTTGAAGAGTTGATAGGTTGGTATACAATATAAATGATTTCAGTTCTAGAGAAATTTAATTGCTCTTTTCTTAAACAAAAGGTAGGATTCCATTTTTTGAAAACCACTGTCAAGTGATAGTTTATGTTGGGATAAACATTCCTTGTAAAGGAATCCGAGTCCAACTTTGATGTTCCGGTAGCAGAATAGGTTTGTTTGCTGATTTTAGCGGGATTTCTATATATTTTACATTAGATGTAATAATTCCGCACAGGTTTTTGCTCTCTGTTCTAATAACGGGCAGTGTACTTATTTAGACCACTCAAAGTGTTTAAATATCTATTAACATCTCAGCGATAGAAAACTATGTAAAACTCAATCCGGAGAGGAATATTCCTTATTGAGTGGAGAGGATTTTTTTCAGCAGGAAATGAAAATTTTGAACTTGAGACTAGGAAATCAAGTAGTTTTTCAAATTTTGACATCTTCATTTATTGTTCGCTTGATGTTCTAATTAGGAACACTTTTCTCCTTGCTGTTATATTTAGGAAGCGTCCCTTCCTTTTAGGGCGGATACACTATTCTTTAAACTACTGGTAATAACTCGCCTAATATTGAGGATAAATTGATAATTGTAATGTAATTCGCTGCAGTAGACAATATCGATCTCAGTTATATAAATAGCTACTAACACGTTTGAGGGAAACCATATATATTGTAGTCATTTTTGATAGCTATCAAACAGATCTTCTAATTAGGAACGTTGACTTTTCTGAAAACGCGTTTAAACGCACAGAAATTGGCCTAAAATCTGTAAAAAGTGGATTTTTTCAGTTCACACTCTCGAATTCCGACTGTGAACCCAAAACATCCATTTTTCGCTCTCTTTGTGCGTTTAAACATATTTTCTGATGTTCGAGATGCATGATCATAATTACAGTAATGTTTCTGAATTTGGAAAAGCAAGACAACTTTCTCTTTTTTGTATGCATGTGCACACGTTTCTTGTCGGAAAATGCATTTCAACGCATAAGAAATGCGAAGACTTCACTTTTTGCAGATTTTAGGCCAATTTCTATGCGTTTGAACGCGTTTTCTGAAAAATTTATCTGCCTGAGTACTGCTCTTATTTTTTATTTAGTTTTTAGCTATTTCGTAGCATGTAATGCGCGTCTTTTTTAGAATTACGGCAGTACTATCGAAGTCGATTCCTGAAGGAAAACATATCATGCTGTCTTATAATTGGAATAGTCAAGATATAGTGTCAAAAACGTATCGTCTTCTCAGAAAAGCAAATATTCCGGTTTGGTTCGATGCAAATGGTGACATGAAAGATAATATGTACGAAAGGTATTTGTATATAAATGATGACATTTTCTTTGAATTCTGTACATGGACTGTTTTTATTCGTAGTCTGTCAGATGGAGTAGAAAACGCTATAGTGATCTGTTGTTTCGTAACTTCCGATTATGAAAAATCTGAGAATTGTAAACTAGAACTGCAATATGCACAAAAACGACATAAACGAATCATTCCATGCCTGCTTGTTGATAAAAATGCTTGGAAGCCTGTTGGTTGGCTCGAACCAATAGCCAGAGAACATGGGTGCGTTGGTTTCCATAATATTTCCGAGTTGAGCATTCATTCGAAAGTAATAGAATTAGTTGCTCGAATAAGAGACAGGCTCTCTGTTCCACAATATCTACCGTCAGAACCAACAGATGAACCGAGCTATTTATTTGATCTAATCAAGCACCAATACAAAAGAAATAGTCGTCTTGAGCGTTTAATGAATCCTGCCATATCATTTCCAATCGAAGAAAGTTACATGAATTTATCCATCGTAGAAACCAAAGAACAACAAGAAACAGAAAAGAAGCTTCACAATACCGAGCACAATGAAGTGATCATAGATACCTTCGAAGAGATTTATGGAATCAAGACGCCAATCGATGTCAAAGACGTTTTTAAAACATGTAAAGATCAGTTAAGAAAAATACTTGTGTTCGGCCGAGCTGGGATTGGTAAAAGCACTTTTTGTTGATATGCTGCTCATCAATGGGCAAAAGGAGTTCTTTGGATAGAATATGACTTGGTCGTTCTTTTCCCTTTGCGTTCATTATTGGAGAGTCATTATCCTGTGCTGCTTCCTGGACAAGACTATTCAGTACTAGATGTCTTAAACAGAGAATATTTCTCCAATAGCTTCTCAGAGAAAGACAAAGCGTTCTTAAGAAAGCAATTGAATATGAGCAAAGTCTTGTGGCTTTTGGACGGATACGATGAAATAGTACGAAACGTACCGCAACATCTGCAGTTTTTATTCAATCTGTTACTCAACACTCCTCATCAGATCATGACGTCACGTCCGTATTTCAATACTATGTCGTACGTTGTGCAGATGGAAATTACAGGCTTTACAGATGACAACATTCTGGCATACGTTAACCGTTTCTTCGATTCAAGCCAAGAAAATTTAGGTGATCAATCATTGAAATGTCAAAAATGTCTAAAGTTCCTAAAAGTGAACCCTCGGATATGGGGCATTGCACATATTCCAGTAAACTTGGAGCTTATTTGTAGTGTTTGGAGTGATACTGATTTGTCAGAAACCGAAACTCTGACAATGACAATACTCTACGATGAAATCATCGTATGGTTATGCCGACGATATTTGGCACGACAAGGTATTTCGATTCAAATGAATAAGGAAGAAGTGTATAAAGAATGCCATCAGGAGCTCACATTCCTGGAAACGTTAGCATTCCAAGCTATGACAAAAAACTCAATAATAATTCGAAAAGAATTACTACAAAAGGTTATGAAAGATACTGGTTCCTCACTAAGAACCCAACCCAATCTACTCAATATTGGATTTCTAAAGTCGTTAAATCATGGATCAATGCATAGCCAAATTGAATCAGAGAAGGAACACTATTTCATTCATCTCAGCTTTCAAGAGCATTTTGCTGCACGTTACGTTGTTAACGCTCTCAGTGATCGTACAAATGGAGTAATAATTAATTTCATTAAAACGCATAGGTACAACGCACGTTTTGGGTTAGTCTTCACTTTTATATCAGGACTCCTCAATCAAACCAATGATGAACAGCAGATCAATATATTATGGGACCTTATTCTAGGAGCGTCACAAGATCTCGTTGGTTTTCGACATCTACAACTTCTGATTTCATGCATTGACGAGGCAAACTGCAGCCAACTTATACGGCAGCTTAATGAGGTGATGCAATACATCGCAAAATGGATGAAATATATTTCATCCCGCAGGAATTCAAATTTACAGGATAAGCTGAATATAGTCATGAAATCCTGCACATCACTACCTAACGATCCAACTATACAAAACACGCTCCTGCAGTTGCTAGAAAACCAATCCGTCAACACCATACATAACACCACTTCACTGATTTCAAGTTTAGAAATTATGAATCCTTCTCCAATGATCATATCCTCGCTCATCAACCTTCTTCCAAATAAAAATCCAGAAATTTCAAAATACTCAGCGAAAGCACTCAGTAAAATGGGTGACAAGACTGCAACCAATGAAGTAATTAATCGACTAATTACTGCATTTGCAGACAGTGACAGAACTGTTCGAGAGAATGCATCTAAAGCTCTGGGTGCGATGGGTGACAAGGCCGCAACACCTGAGGTCATTAGTCGGTTAATTACAGCATTCGCGGAAACTGATACCAATGTACAACAAAGTGCATGTGAAGCTCTGAATGAGATAGGTGACAACGCAGCAACACCTGAGGTCATTAAAGCGCTAACAAATACACTAGGGAGTAGTGATAGAAATCTCAGGTCGAGGTCATGTAAAGCTCTGGGCAGTATGGGTGAAAAAGCAGCAACCAGTGAGATCATGAATCGGCTAATCAGTGCACTTGGAGACAGCGAGGAAATAGTTAGGATGCGCGCATGTGACGCTTTAAAAAAAATGGGTGCAAAGACAGCCACAAGTGAGGTCATTACTCGGCTAATTAGTGTACTAGCCGGGAGCAATAGTAACGTTAGGCAAAGTGCATGCGAAATTCTGCGAAAGATGGGTGAAAAGGCAGCAACAAGGGAAGTCATAAATCGCTTAATTACTGCACTTGGGGATACTGATAGCAATGTAAGGTTGCACGCATATAAAGCTCTTGACACGACCAAGGATAAGGCGCCTACAAGTAGGGTGATTAATCAGGTAATTGCTGCATTCACCGATAGCAATATGCTTGTTCGGTTAGATGCATGCGAAGCTCTGGGTATGATGGATGAAGGTGCCTCAACGACTGAAATCATTAATGGACTGATAATTGCTCTTGAGGATAATGACAGGTATGTCAGACAGAGGGCATGCGAAATTCTAGGAAACATGGGTGAAATGGCAGCAACAAGTGAGGTCACCAATCTGTTGACTCGCGCACTGAGAGATGATGCTTCGAATGTTAGGTTAGCAGGATCTGAAGCTCTGCATAAGATTCGTGAACAGGTGACAACAAGTAAGCTCCTTTACCGGTTAATTATAGCACTTGGGGATAGAGATAGGAATCTTAGGGGGTGGGCGTGTGAAGCTCTCCGTAAGATGAGTGAAAAGACAACTACAAGCGAGTGCATTAATCGTCTGATGAATGCATCAGTCGAGAGTGATAGCGCCGTTAGGCAAAGTGTACCACAAATCTCCGGTACAGTGCACGAGAAATCAGTGACAAGTGACACCATTAATAGCCTTATTTCTGCACTTGGTGATAGTGATAGTGATGTCAGAGAGATTGCATGCGTAGTTCTTGGAAACATGAGTGAAAAGGCAGTAACAATTGAGGTCATCGATCGGCTAATTTGTACAGTAGAAGATAGTGATAAGAATGTTAGGTTAAAAGCATCTGAAGCTTTGGGCAAGATGGGTGAAAAGGCAGCAACAAGTGAAGTTATTCATCGGCTGAATTCAGCACTTGGAGATAGCAATATGAATGTTAGGCTAAGGATATATGAAAGTCTGGGGAAGATCGGTGAAAAGGCACCAGTAATGGAGATCATGAGTTGCCTAACCAGTGCACTTGGTGATAATGACAGTGATGTCATGGGAAGAGCATGCGAAATTCTAGGAAAGATTGGTGAAATGGTAGCAATAAGTGAAGTATTAAATCGGTTAATGAGTGCCGTTGGAAATAATGATAGGAATGTTAGGTTAAGAGCGTGTGAAGCTTTGGGAAACATGGGTGAAAAGGCAGTAACAAAGGAAGTTATCAATCAGTTAATTCATGCCCTCGGAGATAGTGATAGAAGTGTTAGGTTAAGAACATCTGAAGTTCTTGGAAAGATGGATGAAAATGCAGTGTCAAGTGAAATCTTGAGTTGGATAAATAGTACATCTGAAGATAAGGAATGTGATGTCAGGAAGAGTGCATTGGAAATTCTACGTAGCATAGATGAGAGAGCAGCAACAATGGAAGTCATTAATAGATTGATTAGTGCACTAACGAATAGTGATTATGATGTCCGAAAAAGCGCATATGAAGCTCTGGACAACATGGGTGACAATACAACAAAAAGCGATTTGATTAATCAGTTAATCAGAGCTCTTAGATATAGCGGCAGTAATGTTAGACATGGTCTATCGGAGATTACCAGTACAACGCAGGAAAGTGAAGGTACAAGTGTGGTCATTAACTGGCTAATTAGTGCAGTTGGAGATAATGATAGGATTGTTAGGTTAAGAGCATGTGAAGCTTTGGAAAAGATAGGCGAAAAAGTGGCAGCAAGTGGGATTATGTAAGCTCTCATATGTATAGAACGAAAGAGACAAGCAGTGTCACTGATGTTATGTGACAGAACGATGAAAAAGATGACTTTCATTGGGATGGGA